GTGACTGCCCTTTCCTGAGTATTGAACTGGAACGGCTTCACTTTCCCCAGACAACAGTCAGCCCCCTCAGTCAATGGGGACTATCTCATTGGTCTGAGAGCCATTCATTTCCTCACTGCTGCTTTTTTGAGTGCCACTTCTTTGACCAGTTTCTACCAAAATGGTGCCGGTTCTCAATTTGGTGGTTTTGCTGGTTCTTCACCCTGCATTTCCATTAACTGACAGTTACTACATAACTTGGCCACAAACATACACAAACAAACAGTCCTGCAGAGTAGCAATGTGCAAATTACTTATTTTCAAAATGAAATAGTTGGGGGGTTTGGCTGAACAACTAGTCAACATTTTTTAACTGGAAATGTAATTAGGCTTGTTTCAGGTTGCTTTCTGATCCCTGATCTCAAACTGGCATGTTTCATAGGGGGTATTTATGTATAAAGCACATGATCAAAAATATGTAGTTGGAGTGCACAGAACAGATTGAAGGGGTCTTGAGATTTATTTAAACCATAATACATTTACATTTAGTCATTTAGCAGACACTTTTATCCAAAGCGACTTACAAATGTGAAATAACACGCTTGGAAAATTCCAGCGGCTCTTTCCGCAGCTGACAGCGCAGCCTGGACAGTGTGTCTTCTTTATTTGTTTTTGTAGAAGATACGCAGCCTCTCATGCTTGTGGTTTAGATCTGCAGTATCTATGGTGAACATATAAATAAACATGAAGCTGTGCGACGCTACGCTGCAGTTCTCGGACTGAACTGCCCTTCACAGCTCCGTGCTGCACTGCTAAACATGCCTCGCAGAACACTTGTCATTTACAAGCTAGTAAAGGACAACTGAGCCCTTACATAGCAGCTGCGTGGTGCACTGGCACAGGGTGGTATTTACGAAGGAGGCTTCCGAGATTCCAGTGTCTTCCTGTAGAAGAGGCTCCTCAGATGACTGGAGGGCTGCCAGAGACACTCTGCGCTTCAAATGACCTTATCTGGTTGGACAAAAGAGTCACCTTAAAAGAGGTTATTTCATTAAATCCTGACGACTGATAGAAATAAAACTGCAAAGCTTGTTCTTATTAAGTATTTATGCAATGTGGGTTGTCATTTCAATTTATATTTTGGGTTAACCTCTAAGTTAACCTCTATTGACAGCATTTGTGGTGAAATGCTAATTGAGATTAATTAATTTATCTGTTATAAAATACATTTTAAAAAAGCACAAAAAAGAAGCAATTCAATGTTGTTATTGTTTAAAATAAAAGTTCATTTAGATTTTTGCAGCATACAGTCAAATTTCAGGGTGATACAATTGTACTAAAGAAGTTTAATTGAAAGAAAGTCATGTGGTGCAACCAGCAGTATCCAAGATATGAAGAAAAAAAACAAGAAATTGTAGAGAAGGCCCCTTCAGACCCTCAAGACTGTCTGTTTCAATAAGTACTGTGTCTTAAAATATGTTTTTAAGATACTTATTCTGATCAATTCTGGTGTAACGTCATGTGGCACAACACCCCGAAACCGTATGAATTTCTTATATTTATGAATTAGTAATTCACAATTTTGTTAGAATATATACTTTTATCGTGATAAATATATTCAATATCTTATTTCTAAAATAATGATTGATATTTATTCATGTATTTAACACAATTTGTTTTGTTTTTATTTGATAGTTACACCACATGACATATTAGTATGTCATGACTCATTACATTTAAACATTTCTTTAAAATGTATGTGTTTTAAACTGTATTTTCAAAAGATTAAATCATGGGTTTTTTGTCATTGACCTGAACCTGGACTTACAGTAAAATAATCATTTTTCATGTAGCACCATTCAAACAGGATGAGTTTACCAAAAATAATAATACAATAATAATAAAATAAAATAACAAAGAAATGACAATAATAGAAAAAGAAAAAATACTAAATTAAATAAATATATATATATATATATATATATAACAAAAAAGTGCAGAGTGAATTTAAGTTAAAATCACAGTATTATAGACACTTTACAAGACTTGTACAAGGGAAAAAAGAAAGAAAAAAAGTAATTATTTACTTACCCTCATGCCATTCCAAACTCAAATGCATTTAAGATCTCTTGCTTCATAGACTCTAAGTGCATTAGCATAACTGCAAAATTTTTCAATTAAAAACAAGTGCTGTTAATAGAGCTTTTTGAGCCCAGACCATTCTTTTAATGATGCACTGCTAATGCCTTTTGACTTTGACTTTATTGTCAAATGGTAAAGGAAGTCATACTGAAGTGGAGACAGAAGCCACTAATGAGTTTGTGGGTTTTAGGGGCCTGGGGGTTGAAAACACTCAGATCCAACAGCACTAAAAAAACAGCAAGAATTAACAAGCCATAGATGAAGCTACTGTATCTCTACCCGTCGCTCAAATGGCAAAAATAATGAGCTACAACGTTGACATCCACATTACTCTGGTGCGTGTGTAATTCTCTCTCAGCACCTCTGCTGCTGTCTTCAGTGCATTCCCCTGTAATCCACTCTTGCGGCAGCTATAGCCACTGCGTTTTCTCATAGAGGGATTGTATGCCGTTGTGTAACAGCGATAGCGTTGTTTATTTGGTAACCACACTTCTGAAAACTGTAGTAGCCAGCTAGGCAAAACTTAATTAGAGACGATTCATTCCCCATCATGCCAGATGGTTATGGCTGGTTTTCCAAAAATGAGTGAGGCAACTTATGGTTGAGGCATTTATAACAGGAACAGATGGGTTTTATCTATTGCATCCATGTGAGCTCATTAATGCAGCCAGGAATACAAGGTTCGTTTACAGCTCTTTATAATTAGCTGAGAACACTGACACTTGTGCAGCTAAACTAGGATCTGTGATGACAGCTCACTGTAGATTATAGATATGAAGAATAGGAGCAAGTAAGTATTATAACAATGTTTTAATGCAACAATTTCAGTCGAGTGTCAAGTTTCTCCTAGACAGCAATGAGACTAAAGGATAGCAAATGGAGACTGGAAAACATAGTATTTTGATGTGTTCAAAAAATATCTCAAGAATGTCTCAAACAGTGCTCAGATTGGTTCAGGCTATAGAGTCTGACATCAAAAGTCAGAGGTTTCAATGTGAACATTGCAACAAGCAAATCATCTCAGCTGTCCACAATGATTTTATTGTTTTTACTGTATATCGAAATCGTCCTGTTTTAATTCAAATGTTCGTAGATAAACTTGATACCTAAAGGGATAGTTCACCTAAAAATGAAAATTCTGTTAACAATCCAAAATCCATAAGACTTTCATTCATCTTCAAATCACAATAAAGATGAAACCTGAGCAATTTTGTCCCTCCATTGAAAGTCCATTCCACCAAAACTATCACATATAAGCACTGATCAATACAGATACTCATAGCGCATCAAATATGTTAATCAAAAGTTTAACCTTAAAGGGATAGTTCACCCAAAAATTAAAATTCTGTCGTTCCAAACCCGTAAGACCTTCATTCATCTTCGGAACACAAATTAAGATATTTTTGTTGAAATCCGAGAGCTTTCTGACCCTCCATAGACAACAAGGGAACTACCATGTTCAAGGCCCGGAAAGGTAGTAAGGACATCATTAAAATAGTCCATGTGACATCAGTGGTTCAACTGTAATTTTATGAAGCTCACAGGAATACTTTTTGTGTGCAAAGAAAACAAAAATAATGACTATTATTTTATAGTTGCGTAAAATTAAGGTTGAATCACTGATGTCACATGGACCATTTTAATGATGTCCTTACTACTTTTCTGGGCCTTGAACATGGTAGTTCCCTTGTTGTCTATGAAGGGTCAGAAAGCTCTCGGATTTCAACAAAAATATCTTAATTTGTGTTCTGAAGGGTTTGGAACGACATGAGGGTGAGTAATTAATGACAGCATTTTCATTTTTGGGTGAACTATCCCTTTAATTGCGTGATGTTTAGAACAAACCTCATCATTTGCCTCAAGCAAGCACATTTGAGCTTATAACATACAATGAGCTCTATTTATGTGTGATCAATGTTTTATATGAATAAAAGCCTAAATCTGTTCGTCATATAAAGCGGTTATGGTTCATATGGAGTACTTTTATGGTGCATTTATTAAGTTTTTGAGGCTTGAAAGTTTGGTGGAATGCTCTTTCAAAGGAGGGACACAAATCTTTCAGGTTTTATTAAAAATATCTTCATTTGAAGATGAAGTTGAACAAAAGTCTTAAGGGTTTGAATGAGGGTGAGTAAATGATGACAGAATTTTCATTTTCAGAATTTTCACTCAGAACTCAGTAGTCAAGCCTATTGAGCTATAAAAGAGCAACATCTGAGGATCGAAAATCAGATCAAAACTGTAAATCGGGAATTCCCACAGTTTTATCCTGAGATAACTGGCCACCAAATGTCATATATTTTGCATCGAACATTTCTAAAATATTGTAAATCTAAAAAAAAAAGACCTAAATTAATCTCTCGCGTCTTTAAAACCAGAGTGGCCAAAATGAGAAAGTGATTTATGTAGGAATCTGCGCTGTTGCTTCGGTGCAGGTGGTAAGCTGTAATTCCCTAAAGACTGTATCACCTGCTTCACCACACGCTTTGCAGCGAAAACAATTGTTATGCTGCCGTGTGCATGTGGAGATGTTAAGGGTGGTGTTGTCAATAAATTATAGTGATATTAAAAGCGCAGGGGTTGACTCGCCTGGAGGCTGCCCCTGTTATGAAACAGGCTTTTAGCATTTTCTCGGGCTCTCCGCCTGTCAGCCTAAATCTCGCTCAAGCATCCGAAATGAGTCGAGAGGAAAAGACCTGAGGGGTGGAGGTGGCCGTTAAAGAGGAGACGAGGAGGAGGCGAGGGGTGGGTGGGGGCGGCTTGTCCCGAGCCTCGTCTTAAAGAGCGGGAAGGGTGAGATCTCATTGTCAGTCGCAGTCAGTCAGGCAGGCGGGTGAGACGCTCCGCTCTCATCTCCCCGGATCTCTGTCTCCCTGTAGGTAATTACACCGTTCCGAAGGCTTATCCTGTGCGCCGAGAACAGGAAAGAAATGGAGGACTGGATCAGCTCACTGAAATCAGTTCAATCCAGAGAGCATTACGAGGTAAGAACGCTGTTTGACTTGAGTTGCATCTTGAACTATCACTGTTTTTCAAACACACTTCTAAGATGCATGCCTTAGAATCCCCTTAACTGTTTTCAATCAGGTCCTGTGTATTTCGCCACATGCTTTGGGTGTTCAAATCCAGCTTCTAAACATACCTACTTTCAGATTTCCTCTTCTCTTCTCATATGCATCTGAAATATTATGCATAGATATCATGTTATGTTTAAAATAGTTCTGGAAAAAGGCATTTTGCTCTGTTTGTTGTTGCTAATTGACCGACTCTAATTGTGCATGTGTGCATGTGGTGGTTTTTAACATCTGACACCAGTAAATGAAAGAGCGGACTGCAGCGTTGAGTGTTGACTGTACGCTCACTTTGATATGAGATGAAGATGGTTATGTAAGACTCTCAGCCCCCGTGTTCTGCAATACCACACCCAGAACTCCAGCGCTCCGCTGGCACCCCTGACTGGGGGCGCCGTCCTCCCTATTCAATCGTTTTAACATTCAAGACGCATCAAACCGACAACTGGCCTCTTAAATCACTGTTCTGTTGCTTTAGGGTGCTGCAGGTAGATGCCCATGCCGGTGTGGTGTTGCATGCAGGAGGGTTGTGTGTCATACACCTGCGGCTGTTAAATGTGTGCCAGTCTGTGTGATGCATGTGTGTGTATGAGAGCTGAATAATGTAGCCTTTGTTTTAAGGGCTCTGAAAAAGTCTTATCCTGGCGCTGCCAATTTGTCTTAACTTCTCCTTTGCTAGACGGCACAGTTTAATGTGGAACATTTCTCAGGGATGCACAACTGGTATGCCTGCTCCCACGCTCGCCCTACCTTCTGTAACGTCTGTCGGGACAGCCTCTCAGGGGTCACTTCTCATGGCCTCTCTTGTGAAGGTAGGTGTCTGTTCATCTCTCTCGGCTTCTCAAACCCGTGTGTCGGATAATCCCTCTTTAATTATGAAGCTGCTTCACTCAGCTCGCTGTCCTTCCCCAAAGGTGTCATTTTTTCATCAGAGTTGGTCAAGGGTGGTCAGGGATGGCTCAGGGCTGCATTAGAGTGGATTGCACTGGTCAGAGCTACTTAGTGCAGAAGCACAGCTAATTGAGATGGGGAAAAGATCTGGACAGAAACACAATGCAATAATAAATCGATACACTGACGCCGGGTATCTGTCTTTTATTTGTTTATAATTTCCACTTCAAGGATATGATGTGTTTGCTTTTTATATTAAAATGCACATCAATCAGATAAAAACAGTTGAGATTGCAGATATAAAAATCCTTTTCAAACAGGTATCCTGAACACTCCACCTGTCTGCCGCAGAACCACTTTTAAAGTCAACTTCAAACACCAATCACAGCCAATTGTGCTTCAGTAATCGGACATCTTTTTTGAGTGAAATAGGATATTCAACGATAATTAGAATGGGCTTGTAGAATGAGATTGGATTTTATCTGTCTGGAATTTTTGGGATCTTATAAAGGGGGAATGGAAGGGAAGGGTTGAAAAGACGGATTGAAGGTGAATTATTGAAAAGTAAAAGGTTTTTCTGGTTAATTTCAGTAGTTAGATCCTACTGTTAGATGCTACACCATATGTGGGCAAAAAGCACATTTTTCAACTGATGGTAGTTCAAAAGCAGCTGTGTACTGGAAAAACAAACAAAAAAAACAATAAAAACAACAAAAATTAATATTTATATAATGTTATATTATATTATATTATATTATATTATATTACCATTAACTAAAAGTAAAACAAAAAAACATAAAAAATCATTAATTAAAACAAAATAAACATTAACTGAAAAAAAAAAATATATATATTTAAAAAAAGTCAAACTTAAAATTGTTTTATTTCAGCCAATTGCCAAGACAACAGTTGTCATTTTCATTTAGATTAACTTGAAGTACTGAAATATCCAAAACTAAATAAAAGTAATAAATAAAAATGTATATATATACGATATATGATACGATACATTAAAGATACATATGAAGCCGCTACCGATGCGATGCGATACGATTCACCCCTGTTACGATGCAGTGCGATCCGATTTTGTTTTGATCCGATTCAACACAATACAGAAACTAACCTGGTCTAAAGCAGGCTGTCAGACTAAGCTGAGTTCCTCTAACACTGACCAATAGGAACATAATGATATTACCACTGTCTCGCATACTATTATTTGACTTTTTTTTTACAGTTTCTAGCCATGCAGCCTTTCTCTCTGGTTTTATGACAGCTGCACCTTTTATAGTTTGCGGAACAGATAGCAGAACATTAGAACATTAGAACTATCTAAAATTGCTCTTTAAAGCATTAAAATAACTAAATTAAAAGTTAAAATCACTGAATTAAAAATAAATAATAAAGAAAATGACTATATTTTAACTGCTATAAGAAACACATTAACTCATTTGAGCTTAGTAATTAGGACTGTACTAACTTACATTTGATTTACCCATTACAATAGTCCCTTTACAGTTACTGCTACTCATAAACTGTTACTCATAAAAATACACTTACATGTAGGTTTAAAATTCTACAAAAGACATTTAATGTCCAACAACAAATATTTTAACAAAATGTATATTTTACTCAGAATTATTGCGCTCCGTCTGTTTAGCGCGCATGCGCGCAGCTGCGGTCGTTGCTCTCGTGTAAGCCTCGCCCACTCCTGACAGCAAAAATTGATATATTTGCATGACTGTCTAACATTTACACATGAAGAATATAACTGACATGTCCGTTATGCACTGAGGAAAACACAACGTCTCAGATGCATTAAACAGCACAGATATATTCGCTGTTAGCCATGGTGGAACGATTTGATCCATGATCAACATTAAGGCGTGCACAAATGCACAAATTAGTGAGATTGTGTGAACTTAATTTGTTGTTTATGGTACCGCTTTAGCCCCGATTGACTTGTTAGATTATTTCAAGTCAGGTTTTGGACTTTAATCCCAGTTTTTCCTCGGGTCTCCGTGGTGTTGTGATGCGTCATATTCACGCAGCAGCAGTGGTGATAGAGAGGAGAAATCAATCTACATTTTGGTCATAGATTATTGGTCACTTTCTAAATAATAAAAGTATAGCGCATCCACTAGTAATTATATATAAATAAATAGTTTTTTGCCGATGCAAATATATTAGAAATGATGTATCGCGAATCGCGATATAAATGCCAACTTATAGCTGATGCACACTTTTTAAACCGATGCATCGCATCGTTAACTTTTTATGCCGATGCACCGAGCAAATCGGGGAATCTTCCCATCCCTAATATATATATATATACTGTATGATTTAGATGACTGGCTTAAAATTTGATAATACAATATAATTTGATACAAGATTAGAAAGACAACTTTTGGAATATGAGTCAGTTATTAATACACAATATGAACATACTTATGAATAAAAGGTTAATCTGTAAAATAAAATAAAATAAAATAAAAGTATATTTAAAATACTGACAGAAATGGTGACCAATCACAGCACCTAAAATATATACTTTCCTGTGTACATTCATAAACATTTTGTGTATTTTACAGCTTTTTTGTTTGTTTGTTTGTTTTCATATAAAATCTTGATGTTGAAGTTTGTGGCTATTTTTGAGTTATGTCTAGAATCACCTCAAAGTACATGCTGGCAGGTTAAAACACTCTCACTAAAAATACCACATCCAGGATCATGCATTATGCATGCTAATGGTGTGACATCATGTGGAAAGAGAGTGCTAATTACTTTCAGAGATATGCAGATGGTGCTCATTAAACTCGGCTGACTGTCATTGGCTCTCGCATAGCAGGAAGTAAAAATACTAAGCCTCTCACTCACGCCTCAGTTTTAATGAGAAATTCAAGTGAAACTCACACTACTTTGTGAATAATACAAGCCTCGTCATCACCGCCATCCTAATGTTTCCTAATGTTGATTTTCCACCAAAACATCAAGACGCCATTTAGTACGACAGTTTCCTGGGGTCACGTTGAATTAGGCAAAAAGGTGTGGTTATGTGTGGTCGCAGTGGTCTAGAGAGCGATAATTAAGGAGCACTTTCCAGTGCTGTTGTCAC